ATTAAAAATTCTTAATTTTAAAAATATAAATTATAAAAAATTTTAATAAGCTAAGTATTTAAGTAATCTTAAATAAAGTTATTTATCATACTCTTAAATATATATATTTAAATTTTTGTATTATTTAAAAAATATTTATGAAAAAAATTAAAAATTATGATTTTTTTGTAATATACTATATATTTTCAAAAAATAATAATTAGTTTCAGAAAGATTATATCAAATCTTATAAAATAGAGAATATAATTATATTTTATATAAAAAAGAGTCTGTATATTCTTTTTTAATCTGCTTAAATTCTAAATTTCAATTTAATTAAAAATTTATAAATTAAAATAACTCTCAAAAAGAAAAAAAAATTAGTTAATCTTGTAAAGCTTGATAAATATATTAAAAATATATAGAAAAAGATTTCAAAATATATAATTAAAAATTTAGTTAATAGTATATTAGCATAAATTTTAAATGGTAATTACAATAGAAAAAGATTTAACTAAGTATTAAATATATAATACAAAATATAGAATATAATAAACTTAAAATAAAGTCTTATAATAATTTAATAATTTTTACTTTAAAAATTAAAAAAGCATTTGAAAACTTTTAATAGTACTCTATATAATAAACATTTTGAAATAATTGCAAAGTTTTTTCATTATAAATATAATTCTATTTTAATTATAATAAGAAGTGAAATATATCTTAACAATATCAAAATATAATCAAGCCTAAAAAGCTTGTTATAAATAATTTAATTACTAATTTTAAAATCTAGATGGATTTCTTCAAGCTATACTTTTATTTTAATCAAAGTAGTAGAGCAATTTGATTTCAAGGTTTTTTAATTTGATAATATTTTTTAGTATTGTTTTATATAAATGAACAGAATGATGAATTACTGAAATATTACTATTTTTATAGAGAAAAGACACATATTATTCTACAAAATAAAGAGAAACTACAGATTTATTAGCTATTTTGATGATATTATATTTTTTACGCCAAAAGTATTTAATGACTTCATAATTTAATTTTATAGTGCTACATGTTATTTGTGAAGAAAATAATATGATTTAGTAAAAATGTTGATAATTAAGTAAGATAAAAAATACAATACATTATCTTATTAATCAATATTTTTATTAGAAGTTTAATTCAATTTTGACAGAGATCTATATTGCATAAAATATGCATCACCATTACTTTCTGTCAGAACTGTAGAGAAAATCATGAATTTTATTATGTTTACTATGATTTTTTTGCATTCCTGCTAATATATTGTAGGAGTATGTATTTCATAATTCTGTTTATACTTTTTTCTGGATTCATGTTATTAGGATATGAAAATATCATTTAAAAATCTCCAACTATTATTAATAACACGTGATTAGAGATAAATTTATTTCGAAAACTTTATTTTATTGCAATATATTGCGAAAATTTCATTGTTTAAAAAATTTTTGCTGGTCCCTGGTTATCAATTCATATACATGTACATTGAAATTTGGCGCAGTGGGACTTTAGAATCAAAATCACACAGTTATACTTATTTATGGCAAGACAATAATGATCATTTTATGCAATTCTGGTTACATGTACATATATTTAGGTATTGAGATATATGTATGTGCATGTATCATAATACATGTAACACGCTACTTTTCGTATCGATGGAATTATTCTAAATTTTTAAACTCAAGCTTTTCAAGAATTTAAAATTTTTATTTCTATTTTAATATTTAGCTTATTTAGACTGGTATTTAAAATTTAAATTTATCCATAATAATGTGCTAGGCCTCTTTATTTTTCATTACATATTAATCTGTCATTTGAAAAATTACTTTTCCGAAAATTTTTGTAATTAGAAATTGATTACTGTATGTCATCAAAAAAGTAAAGGTAAAACTTTTCATTATCAACCCATAAAAGGCGTAGATGATCTAATATGAAACAGATACATGTACATGGCTACTACACAAAGATCGCGCATATGAGTGGAATGAACCGGAACACAAGCATTTGAAAGTCTTAAGCAACATCTCACCTCTTGTTATTACCCGACCCTAAATTACCATTCACTGTTACTACCAATGCATCTTGTAATATCTGCATTGTGCTCTGTTCGTAAAAGTTATCGTTTCTTAAAAGTGATATTCTTTTCAATGACTTCTTTATATGCTTGCTAAAAAAGCGTAACAAGGTTTTTTATACTATGCAAAAATTCTAAATCCGGAAGTGAGTAATTAAAAATTTTTGACTTGAAAGTTTCAGAAGCAAATAAGCAATTTAGAAGTTTACTCGCGAACTATATGTATTCGAATTGGTAAGCAATTACGTTTTTGCCCAAGATAATTTACTTATAAATAAGACGCGAATTCCACATCTTCCACAATAAATTATCAATTAAACACGCTTCAAATTCACAATGAAGAATCTTATTTTAACACTTATTCTTACTATTGTAACCTTCAGTAATTTCACTTTCGCTACTCATTTGAAATGGAAAAGAGACGAATTTTTACTACTTGGTCGGCATAACGTTGACGAAATATTTATTAAAAACGGATCTTTAGTAACAAGGGATGTTTGCGGCACCGGATATCATCAATGTTCTGATAATAAGACATGTTGTCCCACCGGCACAATTTGCGTACCTGGAGGATGCTGCAACCCCGGATATTATCATTGTTCAGATAATAATGGATGTTGTCCCAATGGCTCAAAGTGCATACCAGGTACTCATAAATGTGACATAGGTTGTGGTGCCAATCCTGTACCTTGCTACGATGGTTGTTGTTTTGAGGGCGAAATCTGCCTCCGTGCCAGTTATTGTAGTAAAGGATCATCACCAACAACGCATAAATCAGTGATACCACCGCCATCAGAGACATTAACATCAGAAACATTAACCTCAGAGTCATCAACATCAAAGACATTAACTTCAGACACATTAACTTCAGACACATTAACCTCAGATACATTAACATCAGAGTTACCATTATCAACAGAATCATCAACACCGAAACCAACACCAACATTGACATCACCGACAGTAATAACATCATCACCAGAAGTGATACAAACATTCACGACATCATCACCAACAGCAATAACTACCAGGCCAACATCCTTATCATCTACTGCAGCCAGTCTAGCCATGGAAAAAAGTTCCGCCATATCAATAGCAATAATTTTAGTTATTCTGGTTTCACTGAATTTAGTATAATATTCTTAAGTAGATACCATAATAACATGCCTTTTATTTGTTTCGAGTTTCCAGCACATGGATTTGTTTCTAAGTAATTATTATTAAATTTTTATTTGTTCATCTACTGATATGTGTATTTTGGTGCAAAATTTAATCGAATATAAATACAATGTCTATACCGTACATGTTATTAAAATTATATTATATTTATAACTTTTTATTTATATCATAATAATGATTAAATGCTTAATATCTAGGATAACTTATATCTCTCAAATAAGCTAACTTTATTGGCCTGATATTAAGGCATAACCATTTTGAATGTTCATAATTATATTTTCTTTCAAGGTATTTTGTTATTGTAAATAGACACGAGTTTTTTAAATTTATAAAATCAATGTGTTTGAAAATTTTTAAACTTTAAGATTAGATAACATATATAGATATTTAGAGAATATACAACTTTTAATATTGTTCGAGATTACGGAAATTTCTAGAATATGTGTAAATCCTTATTTTCTGTACCCCTATCATTACGTGTACATGTTCTGTTACTACAGTACCGTTATTCCTTAATTTTACAGCCATTTTTGTAACAATTAGCGCTTCATGATCATCGTTTACATATAGTTATTGATTAATTAACGTCCCAGAGCATTGTGTGTGATAATAATACTAATTGACATCGAGACTACTGCAATCGTCATAATTTATAATTTGCGATCAATAATTAAACATCTGACATTGAGGTTTGTAAGTTCATAATTTCCTTTGTAATTGCAGGACACCAATATTACCATAACTATTGGACTAACGTTCGACATCACTTCGTAAGTTTTTCTATGCATCTTATTAATTTTATTTGTTATGACTATCAGTTTTCAACCAATTTCTTAAGAAACATAAATTTTTGATGGTGTTTAACGTTCTAAATCGATGTTTCTTGGGATTCATCTCCTATTTGCTTCTTTGTTGACAGCTGTTATATTGTTTTTATCGTATTGTTCAGAACCTATGGTTTAGTGTAGAGTAGAATAGCATAGAATTAACGATAGTAATTTGTATAAAAGGCGAGATGTTAGCCTTTGAACGTCATGCTCTAATCAAATAAATAAAAAATGAATGTTCTTCTTACCTGTAATAACTTCTTTACTCGTAAATAGACTTTTTTCGTTTTATTTGATTATCCTCTAACCTTGCGTACAAAGTAGTGAATGACCTTCACTCTAAAGAATCCATAATTCGAACTTGATATTGCTGACAGGAACTAATTTCCAACCTTTGATTTCATACTGTAGTTTTTGGTTAGCTGAAACCATCTGGATTTTTGCTACTGAAATAACCTTATTAGAATGCATTATTTTGTTGTAGGTGATCAGAAACCTTCTCGAAACCCTTTGTTATTTAATGTAGATTCTTCTTGTTGCCTGTTATCAGAACCTCCTTGACGCTCCATTGAAACTAAAAATTAACATTTGTAAAGGTTGATTTGAGTAAAAATCACCACAGGCGGCCTTTAGAACGATAAAGAAATCCTTGATTGTAAATCATTCAGTCTTGCTCTCATTCTTATCTTTCTTGTTTTGCCTCTCAAATCCGTTAATCCCCCAAGAGTGCACAACAGTACATGTATCATGTAACGAAAAATTAAAATATTGTTAATAATGTCTATAGCACTAAAAAGGTCTCTACGAGACTCACGAAATTTACACCAAATTCTTAACTTGTACATGTATTATCAACATTAATTTTGTAAATATCAAGAGTAAAAGCACTTTTTTCAAATTATGAGGTTTTGATTATCGTTTTATACTTGTATTTTGTATTATATATAATCCATCTCATTATATTCTATAACATAGATCATTCTTCTTTGAGGTAAATCTACTTACTGATTGTGCATTTTGTACTTTAGCAGCTCACGAAACATGTAAAAAATTGTCATTTGTAGAAGGTCTGAGAATTAGACAATGTACGGTTAGAACAAAATAATAAAATTTTTTTAACTCTTAGCTCAGCTCTAATTTCTTTGTGCTAATACAAAATTGATAATTTTCTTTCTTTTGTGTTATAAAAAGTTGATGCGCTTTCTGTGATTCTTTTGATGATGATTTGTACACTTTAATTGTCTTTGAATTCTTTTATCCTTGATCACTCACTTTCCGTGAAGATTGAGATAAGATACTTTTTGGATCTTAGTGATACCCACTTCATACAAGATAATTCAGTCTAGTTCATGACCTTTAGTAGACCTGATTTCAGAGTGAAATGTGACAATATCATGAAATTTTGAATATATGATTTTTCATTTGGCTTATTTTTAAGATTTTCATTTGAATTTTTTTGTTTCAAAGTCAATAGAAGTTATTTTTGAATAGTTTCATATAATAGTGCCCTCTGAACTAAAGAAGAGAATATGTTTGTTCGAAACTCAATATTTTATAATACATTTGCATATATAATAGTTGGAGATGAAAAAGAATCTGATAAATGTGTAATAAAAGTACATATTTTTAAAGTTATTAAAATATGTACAGTTGTATCTCTTTTTAGGAACATATTTGGCCAGAAAATTCAGTTCATATTGAGATGTTGTTCTTATATAAGTTCTTATAGAAGGGTATAACTGTATTTAAATTACTCTTACCTGTACAATCACAAACATCTTTAAAACCTTCTTTATTCAGTAATCATGTTGAGATTTAGTATACCTGCTTTTGAAGAAATAAATAAAATAAAATGAATAACTTATATTTTATACATTTGTATTTTATATAATGAAAGCATTAATATGGGTACATGTAATTGCTTTGAATCGTGCAATGCTTTCAATATCACTTCAACTTCTCTACATTTAAATTATTTTTTCATGAGCCTAATTGTTTGACCGGTTGCTTTATAAATTGTCTCAAATTCTCCTTTTGCAAGATATTCAATATTGATAAATCTTTCAAAAGGAATCAATTCAAATAATTTGGCTCCCATAATTTTTTTGGATTCTTTTATTAGATCATTGATATATTTATCTCCGATAGACAATTCATCATTATTAATTCATTTATGATATTGAAACAGTCATCGCAGTATGAATATATGTAAATTAAACACTAATTATTAGTGCGGTCACTGGAACATTCCAATGAGAATCAAATCAAAATTCATTGGAATTAATTAGATAAAATTAATGATACAAATTAATAATTTTATATTTTAATTGGAACCTTATCCGAAATTTCAAGTGAACTTCACAGCATTTTATTTACCCGTTAAAATATACAATACTATAATAATAAGTGTTCGATTAATCTTTGTAAGAAAATGCGTTTATGCATGTAGATTTAAAGATGATCATCACAAAATGTAATAATAGTCACATATTGGCTTTATAGTCATGTACAGTCACCACAAAATGTATATGTAATAATATAAATAAATATATGCATCATGTTTTTCCATTTTTGTAATCCTAACTTTTTTAATTATTTTCTTCTTTTATTTTAAGCATATACTAGTGAAATTTTTTAGATGAATAAAAATAATAATTTTTATTGAAGTTTATAAGTGCCAAGCAAGCTGTAAAAAAATATGTCATAATCTGATAAGAATATAATCAAGAAAAAATATATGTATACAAGAAATTAAGAAAGATATCCTGAGTTATTCATGAAATTGATAATAAAAAATCTGTATAAAAATTCATCTAAAGATTTTCTAAGATAATTTGATCTCTTTTTATATATAATTTGTATATTGATTTGAGAATCTAAAGATTCTTTAAATAATTTGATTTTTATTATAATATAATTTATTTATTATTTTGAGAATATAATATTTTAAAAAAAAATAATTTATAATTAAGAAAGAAATTATAAATAAAAATCAAATAGAAAAAAATCAATAAATATTAAAGTCAACACAAAAAATAATGATAACAGTCATGTTTTTCGCCTATAACTTAATAAGAAATTGCTAAAATTTATGAAAAATTGACATTATATTCATTAAATTGATGAAACAATTTTTTCTAAGATCACAAAGTATATTAACATAATAATATTTTGTGAAATTACAGAATAAAGATAATAGACTGGAGGTTGTTCTGATTAAAAATTTATAAAAAACTATTGAAAAATATTTTTTATAAGCAGGTAAATAATTTTATAGAAATATATTTAAAGACATAAAAAATATATTTGTAAGTTTAAAAAATTTTTTAATTGATATTTATTGAATAAATACCAGTTAAAAAAAGCCTTAATTTTGATAAATTTTATAATAAAATATAATAAAAATATTATTTTTATTATATTTTACTATATTTTATTATATATTATTCTTTTTTTAACTGGTATTTATTTAATAAATATCAACGAAATTTTTTTTTAAATTATAAATATCTTTTCTGTATTTTTAAATATATTTTTATAAAATTATTTACATACTTACTTATAAAAAATATTTTTAAATAATTTTTTACAGATTTTTAAATCAGGATAGCTCTCCAGTCTGTAACTTTAGTATATAATTCCACAAAATATTATTATATTAATATGTATTATGATCTTAGAAAATTTTGTTTTCATCATTCTAAAGAATATAATATCAAATATTTATAATATTTATAAATTATTAAAAAATAATATTTAAAAGTATAATAATTTATTAAAATTATAAAAAGTTCAAAACTACTCTGAAAGATACTTTAATATAATAATTTATAAAAAATTTATTGATTTATATAAAAATAAGAAAAATAATTTTATATTATATGATTTTAAATTTTAATTATAAATTTAATTTAATTAATTTATTTATATAAAGATAAGATAATATTAATTTATAATTCTAATTAATAGTAGTTAAAAATTTTAAATTATATAATTAATTAAAATAATATTTATATTATATATTTTTTAACTTAAATATTAATTAAATTTTTAATTATTTAATTAAATTTATAATTTTTATTATTTAATAAATTAAAAATAATTTTCATTATATAAAGTAAATTATTTATT